TTGCCAGACTTATTCTGCATCTTCTACTTCAAGGCACAGGCTGCCAGAAAGCCATCTGAATTTCATGCTGGGATATCCTGGACATTCTGCTCTCCAGCTGACAATTGCTACTGGCTATCCTACTTCCAAAGGTTATCCTGATTTAAAATATGGCCTTAAAATAGCCTTGTCTTCTCATTGTTATTTTTTTAATTCCTCCCTTTAAAGAAATCACTCAAGATCTGCAATGGTATTTATATTGGTAACTCTTTATCTGAGATGGTAAATGCCTTTAGAACAAAGTCACGTGAAATAGATCTGAATTCGGGAGCTAAAGATTTTTGGATGGAGAAGTTCACTGCAATCAAAGTCTTCCTTAGGTAGTTACATCCCCATTCAGTGGTGCTGCTTTCGAGGACCCCACAGAGCTGACAGGCAAGACTGATATCTGCTGAAACGGATGCTCTGATTTAACTATACCATGCGTAAGGCCTTAAATCTATCAGAATTTTACGGAGCGATGACTACACTAAACTTCTGACCGACAAGCTCTTGTTACAACAGGAGCTGCAAGAACTGGGCTATGAAATGCACTTTTTCCCCACCCAATTCTTACATCTTGTGTGAGGATATTTATCAAGGGGAACTGAAAAAGCCTTACTAACTACATATTTTATACAAATAAAATTGTTCTCTTCAATAGGCTGTTCTAATTCAAAAACCATATTTAAAAGAGGGAAAAACGTAGTCAAAGTGAGCTGGTCTAACAGCCATGGTATAGTAGTTAAAAGCAAGTAAAACCTGGGTTATATCCAACTGTCATCAGCTCATATGTCACCCTGGATAAAACAATCTGTTCCCCCTCTTCAAAGATACAAAATGAGAATAACATACACCTACCTCTGTAAATCATTTTAACATGCTCCAGTGAAACTAGCTTCAAACTGTGCAATGCACAAGCACCCTTTAAGTTCATCAGGAGCTGTACTGAGTTTGCAGTAAAGACCCAACCACTTAGGTTTCAAACCCTATGGAAAATGCAGCCACCAGCTTACCCTGTGAAGCGGCCACATCATACAAAATAAAACCCATGCAATGCATTTGTTACAAACCCACCACAAGCCTGCAGCTCATGCTACTCTTTCCTGTAAGTGTTTGCTTTTAAACCAGCTTGGATATGCCTGGTGGAGAAAGCTATACAATTTAATTTCAAGGGTCAGGCTGAAGCCTCTCAGCCTTGACAGCATTCCCTTAAACGAACACATTTGGAGTAACTCGGCAATTACATAGTAGCTATCGAGTACAAAAGTACATGCAAATTACAGGGTTACTGCCTGACAAATTTCCTCCTTGACAGTGCGTTATGAGATCTAAAAACTGCAAGTGACATGGTAAGCAGTCACCGAATAATATGGTACCTTCCAACATAATTGTGATGTTTTCAAAAGAACGTGCTATTACTGTATATTTATAGGGTCACAGCCACGCAATTACAGAGTAGCCACCAGCATGTGCACATCTCTTGAAGTCATGTAATACCAGACTCCTTAGGAGGAGAGATTTGATGATTGGCTTTGCTCAAATAGTCTTTTGGGGGGTTCCAGATCAGATTACAGCTTCAGCATCTATAAAAAGAGATACCAGGCAAGTTACTCTTCACTATTCAGACAGAGCAGTGTTTGGGATGGGTAATTACAACTTGAATTCATCCATAACTATTTAAAAATCACTCATTTGAACAGTTAAGAAACCATATCATGTTTTTCGTTAATAACTACAGGTGGCAGTGAAATACCAGGGAATATGTAAACACTGTCTAATGGAACAGCCAGGGTCGTCCCTCATTTTTATTTTTTCCCCTCTGAATTAGCAGGGCTCAGAAAAATCTCTCCCCCATAGCAAAAAATAATTTAGTCACATTGCAAATGACTGTGTAGAGACACAGTATGTTGATATTGCACCCAAAATTCAGGAGGCTCTGAACTCCCTTCTCCCTGGAGGGGGGAAACGTTGGTTTAGAACCATTTAAGCAGATAAAATGATCCTCAAACAGTAGAATCTAGTCTGTTAAAAAAACAAAAAAAGTGCTGCTGATGAAACAGCCTCTGCCTTTATTGCTTCATATAATTCATGTCCCTATATTATGTTTTCCAATGATCTCCAGCCTAGGAATTTCCAGCACATTGAAGAGTTAAACAGGAGAATGAAATCAGCTGACGTGGCTGCACAAGCATACTGCTTTGCTTTGAGGGTCACATTCTGGTGCACTGTTAAAAAAAAGTGTAGTATCCACAGCTATTTTATTACATATGGAGCTATATCCTGCAAACCCCCAAACTCCCACAGCGTTTATACAAGGACAAAGGATGACTGCAGGATTTAGTCGCTGAAATGAGAAAGTGTTTGGACCCTTCCCAAGTCTGAGGGGGTACAGCCAAGCTCCGGTCCCACCAACCTTTAGTAGCCTTCATCCCGATGGCTCTGTGCATGATCCAGGCAAGACGCTAAGCTTGCAGAACTGCTTCCTCAAATACCATGTGGTATTTTGACACATTTCTGTCAAAGGCAGCAGACCTAAATAACCAAATAAGTTATATGTGGAGCTATCCAGGACAGATAGCTTTACAACTGTATTTCACTGTTGTGACAAATACTATCCACAGACTGATCAGCCTTACAGTTAAGGTTATTTTCTTCTTCATTCCAACTCGGACCAAATTAACAACTTAAAAATTGGTTCTCAAAACTAGTAGAGGGAATATATTCCAAAAGTGAGAAGCTTCTCTGCTAGGAGTTCTCTGCTGCTAATGCAGGCAAAAATCATTTGAAGGGAAAGTTGGACAACGTCAGCCCTCATTATGCAGTGAAGTGAAACCAATGCTCAGTAATAAGGTTCCAGAACATTTAGGGAAATGGCCTGAACTCGACCAGAAAAGTGCAGACATCTAAATTCAGAAATTCTCAGTATCACACCTAGTACACTCAATTAACAGGCATGACACCATTTAGCATTCTGCTCAGCCGTGGCACTAAAAATTCAGTCTAAAACTCATTACAGAAAATGTTTTCGTTACTGTTCTGAAAACTATATACACCTTCTCCAACACTAAAAGTTGAATGCAAAAATGTTTCTGACAGGATGTTTCATATCATGTAGGATACCCAAAAGCACCTCAAGTTCTACTAGTGACAACAAACTGAAAAGGACCAGTCATAATGTAGTGGATAATCATAGTTCAAGACATAATTTCTTCAACCCTTAGAGGTACCTGCAGGATATGCACAGCTTATAGTTATAAAGACATGTTCATTGTAAAAAGAAAAAAAAAAAAAACCTAAACAAAAAACGTGAGTTACAGTTCTACGGATATGTAGAAGAACTCTTCTCGACTGCTCCAACAGCCAAACCTAGGAGGCAGGCTTCCCAGCAACAGAGCACAATGTGCGTTTTAAACGAGGAAACTACAGTAAATGACAAAGCTGTACAGAAAGGAAACTAAAATGGTGATATTTAAAGGCTTTCACAAACAGGGTTTCTAGTTTAAAAGGAAAGCTGATGCTCCTCTGCCACCACCAAATACTGTAACCCATAAAACACAGCAACAACAACAAAAAGATAATGGTACGTCCCAAACAAAGCTAAAAGTTGCACTGTACTTTGGGTGGAGGCACATCCAGATGGATCACGTCAGGCAAAGGACAGACCAATCTGGCCAAAACTAAGATGATTCACATCCCGACGCTGCTTTTGCTTGGTGTTGTCCCCACAGCTGCTACCCTGACAACGAACCCTGCCGAGCCTCGGGCACTGTCGGGGCGTCAGCTAAAAGAGCTCAGCACCACGATCCTGGTTTTGCTCTGGCCACCTCATCGCAAAGCTGATCCCTCAGCGCTGCACCTCCCGGGATTGCCAAACGCCTCCCTTCACTCGAAGGCCCTTTCCTACATACCAGTCCCTTCCTTTGGGCATGAGTCAGCAGTAAAACACAGGATTTTTGTTCCCATGAAACCAAGTTCAATATACTTTAGTCATTCCAACTCAAATGGTTAAACTTGTAAGCAGGGAATAACCAATGCAACATCATCAGTCCTACCATAACTAATGTTTCAAGCAGGTGAGACTAATGTAAATAACCCTGAAAAGGCAAAAGATACACTACAGAAGCAGCTACAGTACAATAATCTTGTCCCAGAACTGCAATAAACATCCTGTTTTCTACTGCAAGCTTTGCTAAGTTTGGCAGTAAGGAGTAGCCACTGCTGTTGGAACTGCCTATGTCCCCTGTATGCCATAAAAATGCACACAGCTTCTAATGGGAATATGAGGATAGGCATGAAAGACTACTATTGAACCAGACCACAAGTATTGTTTTCTAGCTTGACATGGATCACATAGAAGCTCTTCTATTTGAACAGACAATTCCCTGTCAATGAAGATATCTTTAAATTTAATTGAGCCCTGTCAGGTTTTTTAAATGGCACAGCTTTATTTGAAAGTACTATTGGCCTTGTTTCTCTACAGTTTTAAAACGATGGTATCGGAGATGCAACACATTTTTAAATAGCGTTCTTCTCTAGCCACTGAGTAGCTGTAGGATATTAATAGAGCACTAGGGCAAATCACGACATAGAACAGATTAGAAAAAGCTACTCTCTTAGTAGCCAGAATAAAGCCACTGACATCTATGAAGTCTCCTGGTTTTGACCATCAAATCTGGTGTCCAGTTTTGCCTGCCTTCCCAGATAAATGATTCCTTTGAGATTGTGCCAGCTCTTTACCATTCTGCTCCTTGTTGGTAACACAGGGCCTACCAGGAACTACTAAGATGAATCAAGCAACCAGGCTACACAGAAATATGAAATAAGTTCTGTGTTTATAGCAAGCTTGGGAAACGTTTTCTTCTGAAATTCAAAAAAGTGCCGATACCTACATTCACTATATTAGCTCTCTTTTTGCATTCCTACACTTGTCATCACATCTTCAGGAAAAAAAGGGTAAAAATAAAAGGCAAATACTCTACTTGAATTGCTGGTCTTTGGTGCTCCTAGTCTTAGCGAGGAATCTCTCAGCCAACTTCTCCAAATTCCTCGAGTAATCCATCTCGATCTCTGCCTTCTTGCGGAAGAAATCCTGCAGGTCCTGCAGTAACTGGACCCGAAGCTCACACTGTTGGTCAAGGCATTTCAGCTGCTCTACCAATTGGGCGCGGATCTCTGTAACAAAAAACAGCACTAAAGATTAAACAAAATCTCATTAGAGAAACATCATAAAGTTCTCTAGCAAAATACGGCTAACACACACATCCTCTCATTAGTAATATGTCAGCAAAGCTCCAATGCCATTAACTATATCCACAGACACAAAACCAGTTCAATTGCATCTCAGATGCAATGGTCACAGGGAAGCAACACAGTACCCTTGAATGCAGTGCCCAGATCTACCAGCACAGCTTTACCACTGAGAGTTCATCAGTTACAAGTGTCAAGTGCATTTTTGGCACTAAGAAGCAGCGGTCACTGCCTAAAAATGTACTGAATCTCAGTCTGGAAAAAGGACTGAATGCTGCAATACCCCACGTCAGCTCAGCAAATCACTTCAGGGAATTTCTATCAAATTCCTTTGCAGACTATTCCTGATGCAGAAACAAGATGTTACACATCCTGGGGCATTCCCCGAAGGCGCCAGTTTGGGATTATTCAATTAGTTACTGTGTCTCCAGCTGTGCAGCTCTCTTTATAAACCATGCCATCAAAAGAGCCAACATGATGGATCTTCCTCTTGGGAAGTGTCCCCAGAGATGATTTTTCTACTTAAAAAAAATCTGCAAATAGCATCTTTATTTACAGGACCCATTAAAGCACATACCGGTACAAGCGTTAATATGATTATTAAACATAATTATTACTGGAGATATCTATTCGTATTTACACATTTTACCAACAGTTTTCAAGACATTGTGAAATTCTCAATTCCTTTCACGTAGGCTGTTAATCTCCTTATCCTACTGCCAACGGTGAAATGATTTGCTCATGGTCAAACAGTGCAACAGAACAAAGTAGAAATATCTCAGTCCCTTCATCTAAAAATAAGGGAACATTCAGTTATGCAGCTAGTAGAGGCTATTTGGCTTTTCAATCAGGCAATACATGCAACATGAAAATAATAAAATATGCACTTTCATCTAGAGAGCTCTGAGCACTCAAACATTAGAGATGCCTACCATTGCTAAATAGCTACTGCTGCTCTTTCTGAAGTTTTTCAAAGATGTGTTTTTCCAGATGAGTTTAGAACCAGCAGTAAAAGTAGTAACTGGAGCACTCAGCATCCAGGTCTCCAGCACGCGCAGCTTGGTTTCTGTCTACGCACCGCAGCCGCATGCATGCGCGCACAGGTTTATGACTGTCCCCACAACTGAAGATGGGAAAGCATCGCTTTTCAAATGCGGCTTTTGAATCGACTACTTTATTGCTAATTCCTGAGATACATACTAGTAGACTCCAGCTTGGCCTCCTCAGCACACTTGTCCCTTTGCCCATATAAAACACACCATCTTGACCTCTGAGCACTTGACTCTTGCCATGCACCACAAACACCGGCTGCCTTAAATTGTGCTCACAGCTGCAGGAAGAAACTGTTTTAGGGCGGGTTCAGGATTTTTAAACAAAGAAAATATGTATCTCTGTTTTAGAGACTCAAAAACCCAAAACGTGTACACAAATATGACTCTCAGTAAGGCTTGCCAAGAACACATCTATGTGAAAATGTGGCGTTTTCAAGTTCAAAGATGACTTTTTCTAAGCACTTCAATTCAGGAGTCTCCATTCTCTGAAACCGTACTACCTGATGGCTTTGCAGCTTGTGCTGCAAGAAAAAAAATACAGGCAGCAGAGTCGTAACATCAGAGCGCTGCGAGTAGTCACAACTGCTACACGTGGGCAAAAACAGTCAGCCTACTTCTTGAATGAAAACCACCTCAGGACATGCGTTTCTCTGGGCAGAGCGATGCACCGCTCACGCTTCCCTCTCCCAGCCGAGGCGGCTGCGACCCGGGGGGCGAGGGCCAGCGCGGCGGCCTGGCACCGGCTCTGCCTCCCGCCACGGTTAACACAAGGGCACTGGAGACACAAATCTGAGGAAGTGTCATGGGAATCTCCTACCTGCCTGGATCAACAACCAATGCTCTTCAGGCTATAACGCTTGATCTTTATGGAAAAGATCAGAGATTTAAAAATAACCTTTTTTTTTTTTTTTTTAAACGGAACATTAAGTAAAATCTACCTATTGCATTTTTTCTTAGAAATTTGTGAGATTTCCCTGTTGTATGCTCAGTTCCAGCTGGTAAAAGTATTTCAGGATTAACAGGGGCTGGGAGGTACACGTGGAAAGAACAAATACTTGAGCACCTAAGATCTGCTAGCACTTTTTTTTAAAAATTTGCTGCTTGAATCTCAATATATGCTATGTATTTCTTCCCCATTCAGCTTGCTCCCCAATTACAAAACTCCTAACGGATTTGCAGACTCTGTGCCGGGCTTAGTAGCGTGCAACGCAATTAAGACAACTCCATTCTATCCATGGCTTTGTCATTAAGACTTTAATAAAGAAAAAAAGGTGAAGTAACTAGATATAATAGATCATGGAGCACTGAAATGTGCAGTAAATACAGCGCTTCCTTGCTGCAATGAATCAGTCTACTCCCTACTTAACCTAAAACTCCTTTGCAAGTCTGACATCCAGGAAAGAACAGGCTTTGAGGCAAGCAGCAGTAAAAGCTCCTCCCTGGCCTTTGCTGCGGCTCCTCCATCCTTTCCTCAGCAAAATAGATGGTCCCACATAGAAACAACTCCGTGACCTCATTAGAGGTTATTAAACAAAGACACCTACTTATTTTAATAAGCTTTGGCTCAGTCTCTAAACCTCTGAAAGGTGAAATTTGTGTAGGTAGATTACATGGATGACTGACATACACCTCTCCTCCAAGGACAATACAAGCAGAATATGTGCACGGCATGCCTACAAGAAAGTTTAGCAAACATACAGCAGCTCAAAAGTCTGTAAGACATGCTAGCTAGGTGTAACCACCAACGAATTATCTGCTGTTCCTTGCCTTCTTTGTAAGGAGAGCAGGTCTTTCCCTTGATATAGGGAGGGATGGGGCAGTGCAGTTTACAACTTCATCCCTTTTTGAACCTCCAATTTTAGAACCAATCACATACATTTGAGATTTAAATGATTAAAGTTCTGATTCATTAAAGATTTCCTCCAGAAAGCTTTTAAGGATGTATGTCCTTACCTTCCAAATTTAGGGACCGATTTCTGGAATTAACAAAATGCTGATTTTTCCCTTGCAATTCCAAATAGAATCGAGAAGTTTAAAATCTCCGTTTATCTAAAATCTCAGTTAATCGTTCCTCCTCTTCTACTCCTTTGACACCAGTTTGTCAGCTAAGAATGCCAAATTTGTTAGTTATCTGTTGCTAATTAACATGGGAGACTGGCTACCGCTCACATTCTTCTCTGGTGTTAGATTAATAAAGATCACACGCAGGTAATACTTAAACAGACCTGCCACTTTCTGCTAAGCAGCAGAAGAACGAGGCACAGAATTCAAATGCAGAAAACTGCTTCCTTGAATATGATGTATTAGGACATTTAGGGCTTGATCATCTGTGCAATGTTATTCTTCAGCAAAAGTCAGCTACGCTATTAGCATGGATAAACAGTAGGCAGCAAGTTTATAAAAAGGATCATGATAGGAAGAGATAATAGAAGATATAGCTTGAATGGGTACTGTAGTTACCACCTATCCTGCATTTATAATTTCTTCCTTCTCTCTGCTACAATTGCACCGATTCTAAGCAGAGTGACGACACGGTAAGCTGAAGCTCTACATCAGTCACGTTCTTGCTTCAGGAAGTTACTTTCTTTGCAAGTGGGAAGGGGAAGAGGACGATCCTGCTACAGCCAGGAGTAGGATCCTACAAGGAGTGGTAAGAGCTGCTGAGTTTATTTCAGCAGAGATCAGCAACTTGAAGAGCTAGGAGGTAGGCTGGGGAGAAAGGACAACGGGAAGAAGCAGCATGAAGGACATCCATGGACCTTAAGCACGGGGACTTTCCACAGAAGACACGTTGCTGGCTGCAAGCCAAATCACCTGAGGCAGCAGTGACTTCAGTGCAACGCGAGAACGCTTGATCGAAACCGTGAGTCCTTCAATAGCTGCAGCAGTTTTATCCCCTTCACAAAAAGCTGGCTCTCAGCTGACATTCAAGTCCTGCAAGACTTGACCAACCATCCAAATACTAAAGTAGTTCAGGACAGGGAGAAGGTGGAGGGGCCTTTCTCGACTTTCAGTCTTTGCCTGCAGAAACGGAAAGACCCATCCTCTTCAGATGCATCTTTTTTCTTCTCTCTTAGAAGCCGAATACCAGAAGAAAAAGTGGAAATCCAAAGGACAGCTTCCAAAACACTCTTATTTCTCAAAGATTCACAGATCAGCACAACATATAGATTTTATATTAAAATTATAACAACACTATTGGTTCTCAAGGTGGAATACATCACCTACAGCTCTCATACTAAACAGCAGGAAGAATAAGTAACCTTTTCCTTTAGTCAAAAGTGCTTCATCAGCACTTTTTCGTTACGAATAAACTCTCTCTTTTTGAGGAGGAAAAGTAGCAGCTGATGGGGCTGCCACAGGGAACAACAGGCTATTCAGAGCCAGCAGATCCAGTCCGTGGTGCTGAGCTGCAGAAGGACAACCTTGCTCATCTTTCAAAAACACTCCACACAGTACTTTGCCACAAAATAAAATCAAGAATGCAGGAATTTCCTGAGGCTTACTGGGCTTCCTAGAGTATAAAGTGTCTGCTTGTTTTCCCATTGCTTACACAAGCAAAAGATTTTTTTTCAGACTTACTCCGAGAACATACCAAGGCACAGTCAAAGGCAGTGCGTGCTATAAACTGGGGGTCATCGTATTACACAGGACCTTTTATATGTCTGTAGTCACAACAAACACATTTTAATGTTGAATTCACTGCTTTTGCATCTTTTAATTCACATAGGTCATTAGGTCAGCAGCCCCTTTAAAATAACAGAAAGCCTTCTATGCGCCTTAATTTTTTGTTTTAATTGTAGACCTTACTAATCACTTGATGCCACCCTCTGTGACAAATCAAGACAAAGAGCAGCATCATAATGACTGGCC